TTCCCTGGAGCAGCAATCTTGCAGACATCTCTGTGTTCACATGTCTATTCCTCCCTCCTTTCCTCTTCTCCCAGCGAAGTTCCTGCAAGCCCTGACCAGTAATTACACCATTGGATTCGGCAAGTTTGTGGACAAAGTCTCATCCCCTCAGACAGACATGAGACCTGAGAAGTGAGTGAGGCTGATGGGGCCAAGGGGGTGGGCAGAGTGAGGAGAGCAGGTACTTTGTATTTCGCTCCTGGTCTTCTGTGTCAGCAGCGTAAGAGCCTCTGTCCATCTCTCACTCCCTTTGTTGCAAATCTCTGCTTTCTGGCCTCCTTGCTCTGCCCTCCAACCTTGCTGTAACACAGTGCCGATATCAGCAGTGTCCTCTTCCAGCTTTGTGTCGCAACAGATTGCACATTTTTCTGTCACCTCCATCTTTGCCTTTATCCCTTCTACTGCTCCTGTCCCTTCTCTCAGGGCCACTGGTTTGTCATCTCAACTTCACGTCCTCCCTTGATGAATCTTCCCAAGAATGATCTCCCACTCTTTCTCTCCTAGGATCCAGGGAGCTTGGGGTGGGCGGCCAGCTGGCTTCGGCACCTCAAGAGAGGTGGAGCCAACCTTTTGCACATACAGTCCCTGTGCTAGGAGCTCCATATGGACAAACAGTGCCCTGCTTGGATTGAGAAGCATCCCTTTGCAATGAGACCTGCCCTGTACAAGAGCCCTGCTCTCCTTTTCTCTCCTAGGCTGCGTGAGCCCTGGAACAATGCTGATTCCCCCTTCTCCTTCAAGAACGTCATCCGCCTGACCAGTAACATCAACTACTTCAGCAAGGAGCTCAGGAAAGAGCGCATCTCTGGCAACCTGGATGCCCCAGAAGGAGGCTTTGATGCTATCCTGCAGACAGCTGTTTGCAAGGTTTGATGGTGGCTAGGGAAGCAGGAGCTCTGTGTGTTGGGGCAGGTTTAGAGGATAGATCTGCTTGATTCTGGGTAATAAGTGGAATGATACCAGTGTGGTAATGAGTGGAAGAGAGGAGCAGCACACTGGGCAGCTGATAATACAGTCAATGGGCCCAGAGTTCAGGTTCAGACACAGTCAGTTTTTGCCTCCCCAGCTTGCTGCTCCTGGTGCTGAGTTGTTCTGCGTTCCCCGTTCTTCCTAGATCTCAGACCAGATGTATTTATCTCTCTGGTATTTGATGCCCAGCAGAGGAGCTAATTGTCAGGCACCCTGTATGCTCTTGTCTCTGTGCTGTTCCTCTTTGTGCCTGCCGTGGTGAAATTCTCCTGCTTGGAAAACTGCCCACTTGGGCCTGTCCAGTTGGCTGAGGGGTACACATACAAATGGATGAGCATGGCTCCAAACACGTCCAGAAAAGCAAGGGTTTGTCTGCTCTGTGTGTATGTACCTGGCACTGACCAGCCAGGTAGACATCCTGTGCCCTGGGTCATAGATGGCAGGAGCAGAGACCTGCTGGCTTGGAGTCCCGGGACCACACGTAGCTGAATGCATCTGCTACCAAGTGGAGTTGGTGCCTTTCCCTTGGTTTTCCCAAAGGCCCCAGTCCTGCCAGTGCTGGTCTGCCAATGGGTGCAGTTCTGTGCAGTCTTTTAGTGGGCACAGAGATAAAAGTTCCCTTCTCCCCCTCCCCGCCTGTAGGATAAGATCGGCTGGAGGAAGGACAGCACTCACCTGCTCGTGTTTTCCACTGAATCTGCCTTTCACTATGAAGCTGATGGCACCAACGTCCTGGCAGGGATTCTGAGGAGGAATGATGAGCAGTGTCACCTGGATCCTGATGGCACCTACAGATATGACACCAAGCAGGACTATCCTTCAGTGCCAACCCTGGTGCGCCTGTTGGGACAGCACAACATTATCCCCATCTTTGCTGTCACAAACCACTCCTACAGCTACTATGAGGTGAGGAGAACCTGGTGGTATGGGAGCCACATGCGCTTGCTTTCCTTCAGGACCCTTTCTCCTCTGGCTGCAGCTTATCTATGAGGAAGCAGAGGAGCCCTGGTCATTCTCTGGAGGCTCTGGGCCCGCTTTGGTGTCTAATCCTGCTCACCCTGGCTCCTTCCAGGCTGGAGCAGTTAGGGAATATGAAATGGTTGCTCTAATCCCTCCAACCTCAAGTATGGAGGGCCTCACAACTGGGCATCCAGGGCTCCCCTCAACATTGGTGGACACATTAGATGCTCAGCACATGCTGCAGCTCAGCTTCTGGACCTGTTACTGCAGTGCTGTGCTGTGGCTCAGTGGGCTCCTCTCCCTCTGCAGAAGCTGCACAAGTACTTCCCCATCTCTGAGCTCGGGGTGCTCCAGGAGGACTCTTCCAACATTGTGGAGCTGCTTCGCACAGCCTTTGAGGTAACAGTGCTCTCTAGAGCCTCGGTCTCACTCCCAGGACAGATGGTGGGTGAGAGCCTGCCAAGGAAAGCAGAGAGGATGCAGTATGTGACTCCTCCGGGGCAGGCCGTGGGGGTGGTTTCAAGGATACAGCTGAAAATCAGTGCAGTGATTACCTTCTGCCCACATAGCGTATCCGCTCCAAGATGGACATCCGGGCTGACTTTGTTCCCAAAGCCATGAAGACAGAGTTCACCTCCACCATGTATGAAAAGACAGAATCTGGCTCCTTCCATATCACCCGGGGTGAAGTGGTAAGTCCCAGTGGCTGCCCTGGAGGGGAGGTGTGTGCAATGTGCAGAGCTCTGCTGTGATTTTGCTGGGGCAGGGTGAGGAAGGCACGGTGTTGCTGTTGTCTGCCTGTGCTGTGTCTCTCCTTCCTAGGCGTTCACTTACTGGTGACAGGGTCAGTCAAGCAGAGCTACATCCCGCAGGCTCTTTGGGCAGAGCAAGCTCACCTGCATGTCCCTTCCTTTCCAGGGCAAGTTCAACATGCGTGTGAAGGCGCTTGAGTATGTAGGAGGGCAGCACGTCTGCAGCCTCCCCGAGAAAGACCGGCAGGGAGTTATCCACGTGAAACCCACGTCCTTGAGTGACAGTCTCAGAGTCCAAGCCTCTGTCATCTGTGACGTGTGTCCCTGCGAACAGGTATGGGGGGCTGTGTGTTATAGACCCCAGCACTTTCTCTGTCTAGCCGGGAGTGGGTAGGCGCTGGCCAGCGCGTGCAGGTCCTGCTCAGCTCCTTGCTGACAGCCGTGGCCTTCTAGTTGGGTGCCAGAAGCCCTGTGCTTTTAAAGCAGGAGGATCTGAGTTGTGGGTCTTGCTGCTGTGAATATCCAAGTAAGTGTGGTCAGTGGCACTCTGAGGCTGCTGGCCCTCATCCTGCTCTGAGGGTGCTGGAGTGAGAATGGCATCTGCCTATGCTGTGGCAGGCAGATCTGCCAGGTGTCTTGCTGCAGAGACTCACTCACAAGTGGAATGAGTTGATTGTTCCCAGCTGCCTGCAGAGCAGAGTCAGCCTGTGAAGGACTGCGCATGTTGTTCTACTGCAGAGCTGTCTCGTGCGCACAGCCTTTCCCTTGGCTCTGCCTTCCTAACTCCCGAGATGGCGCAGGGGGTGCCGAGCCCACAGGGGAGCTGGCAATGTCTCCTCTCTCCTCACTTTCAGCAACAAGAGTTTGGCTCACCCAAGTGCAACTCCAACGGGGACTTTGCTTGCGGCCAGTGCATCTGCCATGCAGGCTGGTAAGGACCTTGTCTAGTTCTGTACCTCTCTCGTGGTCCCTGCTGTCTCTGGGCACCCAGAATAACACATACTCACACCAAGGACATCCTGCCTGCGCATAGGCATCAGGCCAGGAGCCTGCTGCCTTGTCCCCTGCTCCTGCCTCTCTCAGCATCTCCTCCCCTCCATCAGGCGAGGGGACACATGCAACTGCTCCCCAGCCTCGTCCCTCAACAACGAGGCCTGCATCCGCCCTGGGGACGTGGAGCCGTGCTCGGGCCGGGGCGAGTGTCTCTGTGGCAAGTGCCAGTGCTACTCCGAAGACCTGAGCCTGCGCTTCGACGGCGAGTTCTGCCAGTACGACGTCCTGCAGTGCCCGCGCACCTCTGGCTTCCTCTGCAACGGTGAGAGCAGGCGCCCGCTGCCTCCCAGCCCCGGTCCCCACTGCCTCTCCCCTCCAGGCACTGCCAGGGCTGTGGGAGAGGGAACGTGCGTCCTCGCACGCACCCGGAGAGTCATGATGGCAGCTCTCTCTGGGTTGGCATCAAAACAGCTGAGATGGCTGCTGGAGGGGTGTGATGCTGACAGGTTTGTGGCAGTGGCAGGTAGATGACGAGCGTCCCCGTTGTGGGGTGCTCTGAGGAGGCTGCAGCTCCATGCCATGGTCCCCATCCTGCCCCAGGCGCTGGGTACAGAGCTGGCATGGACTGGCAGTGTCCCACTGCTCAGCTGGCAATGGGCTGTGGGGACTCCGCGCTTGGGGAAGGAGGGAGACCTGGGGCGAAAGCACTGGAGTCTGTCTGAGTCCTGGCTTCAGGGCAGCCCTTTGCCCCCCGCTGAAACTGGGAGAGCCGGGCTGGCCTGCAGGCAGGGCTGGGGGAGCAGCACAGCGTGGTGGGGTCCCTTGGTGATTTCTTCTACAATGCAGATCGTGGCCGTTGCTCCAAGGGCGCGTGCGTGTGTGAGAGCGGCTGGGAGGGCCCCAGCTGCGAGTGTCCCACAAGCAACGACACCTGCATTGACGGCCGAGGGGTAAGTCCCGTGTCTGAGGCCAGCCTTGGCTGGGGGGCTGCTTTGCCCTGAGTCTGGGAAGACCACCCCAGCTGGGACTGTAGCAAACTGCCCCAGGAGCTGAGATTCAGAGCAACGACACCTGCATTGACAGCCGAGGGGTAAGTCCCGTGTCTGAGGCCAGCCTTGGCTGGGGGGCTGCTTTGCCCTGAGTCTGGGAAGACCACCCCAGCTGGGACTGTAGCAAACTGCCCCAGGAGCTGAGATTCAGGGCTGCTGGTAGCTGGCAGCGTGCTCACTCCCAGCACCCTTGGGTGCCTGTGGTTGCTCTTGGACACGGACTGTCACCTTTCCTCTCCCAGGGCATTTGCAATAACCATGGGAGGTGTGAATGCGGCAGGTGCATCTGTGACACGGCTTCTCTGTACACCAGCTCCACGTGCGAATTCAGCTACTCCCTGGTAAGGCTCAGCCCTGCGGTCCCTCCGGTTTTATCACTCCTCTGTCCTACGTAGAACATCGAGGGGAAGAAAAACAGAGCAAAGATGAAAGCACACCTCAAACAGGAGCAAAACCCTGCTTTGGCAGCCAGGAGGGGCTCTGTGCTGGAGCTGCTCTGCAGCCCTGGGCTTGCTTTGCCCTCCAGTTCACCAGCAGCATTAAAGCCATATGATTGTTTAAGGTATATTTGTGTTTACCTGCACATTCATGAAGGAAGTGCATCTAGTAATCAGAATAGAGGTTTGAGCCTTGGCTCCTTGCTTCTCTTTCTGATTTGCCGTGAGACTAGAAAAAGTCACTCCGTGGCCCCGTGCCTCAGTTTCCCCGTGGACAAACACATGCTAGTCTCGTGGTGGGAGAGGCAAAAGGTAGCCTGATCGTATTTTAGACAGGCCACCTAAAACCCTTACAGAAAAATCTAACCACTGCCCAAATACAGCATGTCAGTGTAAGAGATTTTGGAGCGATTGTGAGGGTTCAGTGTCTCCAGTCCGAACACCTTGAACTGTTGGGTGCGTGCTGTGCGGGCTGCTGTGTGGACTGTCTCGCGCGTGCTGTTTGGATTCGGGAGGTGTGGGAGTCAGCTGCCAAAATCCCGACATAAATTCAGATTTTCAGTTCCACCCCCTCGTTTCATCACCGCTTTGACGGAGCTGCTCCAGCTGCTTGCAGCTGGGGGGTGGGTGTGCAGGAGGGAATTGGTGCCTCCGAGGCAGATGACTAAAGAGATCTGCGCTTACCTCTGCTTGGCCCCCACTCACCTTCCCACTGGCAGCGCGGTGCGGCAGGTACAGACCTGCTCTTGGTAAGTCCCTTCCTGACACCTCTGAGCCAGACGAGGAGCCGCCTGCCCGGAGGCTGAGCAAGCCTTTCAGTCGCTTCTCTGGAGCCACGCTCACCTCATCCAATAAATGTGAAAAGCCTTACCCAGCTGCAAGAAATAAAGTTGTGGCTGTCTGTCTCCTGAGTTACAAATCCCTTGTCTGTGTTAGCTGCTTGCTTTCTGTTAGTCTCTTCTCTCTTTGCCCTGTCGTGAGGATGAGGACGCAGCATTGTTGCCTTTTGGAGATGTTCTCCCCGGTTCCCCCTTGGCCTGTCTCCTAACAGTCCCACCTTGTGTCTCCACCCAGGGTTTCCAGGCTGTGTGCGAGAGTATCCGGGACTGTGTTCAGTGCCAGGCCTGGGGAACGGGCAAGATGAAAGGGAACTGCAGCACCTGCCACCTCCAGGTCCAGATGGTGGAAGAGCTGAAGAAAGGTACCAGGAGACTCGGTGCTCTGTGCAGTCATGTGTGATGTGCCTCTGTGTGTGTGTGTGTGTGTTCGTCTATGTGTGTGTAGACCTGCTCCTCATGCTTAGCACTGGCTTCCTGGTCCAGATCCCCTAGCAGCCTGGCAACCGTGCCCCATCTTTCTATCTGCAGGAGAGGTCAACGAACACTGCTCGTTCCAGGATGAGGAGGATGACTGCACCTACCACTACTCCCTGGAGGGAGATCCCACTGTCCTCCCTAATACCACTGTCCAGGTGCAGAAGAAAAAAGGTGAGCAGGGACTCAGCAAGAAAGGAGGTGCAGCCTGGAGTCTGGGTTAGCAGTGGTCTGCGTGCACAGCACCTCTTCTCCCCTCTTCGCTGTGTGCTGGGTTACGCTTGGCTCTCATATGAACACCAGGAGGTGGATAGTGCCCTCAGCCATCAGCAGCTTTGGAGATCAGTGCCTTTTCACTGCCTAGGGAGAAGACCTCTCCATGGGCAGCATTTTTTCTGTGTGAGCACTGAGAAAGAAATTCCTAGGCCAAACTTGGCTGCTCCATCCCGAAAAGAGCTGTGGTCCAGCCTCTCCCATCTGTCCATGCATCCCCCCCTTCCTTCCCTTTTGTGCCCTGCATATGCAGCACAGGGTTTTGATGCCCCTGAATCATGGTGGTACATTGCTGTTGGTTGCAGAGTGCCCTCCAGGAAACTTTCTGTGGCTCATCCCACTGCTTATTTTCCTGATCCTGCTCCTGGGATTGCTGCTCTTGCTCTGCTGGAAGTTCTGCGCCTGCTGCAAGGTGAGTTTCTCGGCCCGGCTGCCTCCCCGTACCGGGCTGGTCCAAGAGGGAGCCCTCACTGAAAGCAAATCTCTGCTCTTGAAAAGTTGTCCTTCAAGTCTCTCCTATTGAACAGCTTTGAGAATATGCCAGGAAAAAGAAAAATTCTGCCTTTCTTCCCTCACCAGCTGGGAAAGTTGGTGGGGACAAACAGAGAATATATTATATTGGGAGGGAATAGAAGAGGGCAGCCAGTGCCTGTTAAAATGGTGGGAGTTTTGCCAGAGGCTTCAGGAAGAACTAGGTAGTGTCCAGAAAGTGACAAATTTCCAGAGTCCACCCAGCCTCCAGCATGGCCAGATTATCAGTACCTGGGTCCCACTGCTACTCAACAACTCTCCCGTTGCTTATATGAATTGCAGTGTGATTTCCCCAGCTAAAGGGATGTCTGGCTAAAATCCACTTCCAGAGCCCCAGCCATCTCTGCTCCCATGCTGCTGATGCAAATGCCCCTAGCTGGAGACATGTTTTATTGCTTTGGCCGCAGAGTGATTGTGCGTTTGGTCATTTGTTTTCTAGGCTTGCCTGGCCCTGCTTCCCTGCTGCGCACGAGGTACCATCCCTTTGAACTTGGGGGGAAAGGGACGTGAGGGGTTCCCTGCCTTCCTGGACAGGAGGGCATACTGGAATGAGCATCTCCTCCTCCCTGAGCGCAGTAACCTCCTGCAGGCTGAGGAGATTAATCAGGGGAAGGTCCCTGGCAGAGACTCTTAGCCAAGGAGCCCTTGAAACTCCTGCCTTGTATCCCTGCCGCATGCCCTGTGTGTGCCTGCAGGGGAATCCTGCCCTAGTGCTCTCCTACCCCGTGTCTTTCCTAATGCCCAGCTGGGGTGATGTGCTCTCCCTGCTTGTGAGCATCCCATGTCCTCTCCACCGGCCAGTCAGCTCCAGTCCACTCCCAACACCCTTGGCTTGGTGGAAGCACTAAAGATTCCCCAGGACAAAGTCCCAGGTTTTGGGAAGTTGATGGCTCGAGTTGTCCTACTTTGTCTGGTCTCTGACCCTGCCCACTGCTCTGCAGGCCGCACCGTTGGCTTCAAGGAGGATCACTACATGCTTCGCCAGAGCCTCATGTCCTCTGATCACCTGGACACTCCCATGGTGCGCAGTGGGTCCCTCAAGGGCCGAGACACCGTCCGCTGGAAGATCAACAACAATGTTCACAAGCAGGGCTTCACCTCCCTCTCTGCCACCAACCCCAAAGAGCTCAGTAAGTGCTATTTCTGAGAAACAAGGCCCAAGTGAGATGCTGCAGGAGCCAGAGGGGATGGGAGTCCTTTGTGGTTGCCTCCTGCCTCCACCAGCCATAGCATCACCTCCAAGCCTGCTGCAAGGTGGCTTGTTCCTTTATCTGCTTCCATCCCAGGGGGCAGCTGAGCAGCATATTCCTGTGTCCAGGCCTGTCACAGGAGTTGTGGGTAGCTTTGGAGAGCTCCTGACAGCCTGGCCTTGTGTCAGATGTTCCTAGCATGTGTCTGAGGTCTCATTAGCTCAGGTGATCCAACCTTCCTGCCTCATCGGTCCATAGCAACCACTGGACACAGCTTCCTTCACAGGCTTCTGGGTGGATCTTACACAGAACTTCCTAGTAAGCACTCAGCTCTCAGGTGGTTTTCTCTCCTGGTGCTAGATGGGGTTTGGGTGCTAGAGATAAAGGATCTGGACATCCAGCATCATGTATGTCCACATGCTTCTGGCTTTTGATTAGGTTATTTCTCTGACCAAGAGGGAAGGAGTCTGACCAGAGAATTTCTTTTTTCAGTTCCCTATGGGCTGTCTCTGAGGCTGACCCGGCTTTTCACACAGAACCTCTTGAAGCCAGATAGTCGGGAATGTGAGCAACTGCGTAAGGAAGTGGAGGAGAACGTAAGGGCCTGAGCACTTGGCAGGGTTTGCTCGCGGGGTGAGAGATGGGAATGGGTTACAGCCGCGCTGAGTTGTTCTTCTTTGTCTGCAACGCTGGGGAAGCTGGAACTCCTCTGCTCTGGAAATTTAAAAAGCTCTTGCAATGAAGAAGCAATTCTTTCTATTTCCAAGTGAAAGCAGAATTTTCCTGTGAAAGGCACAAATCTTAAAATCATGATTATGAGAATTATCAAAGCATCGGGTTGCTGAAGAGATTTGCAATGAACCAGCACTTAAGGGCATGCTCTGGAGCTCCTGTTTGGCTTCAATTCCTAGTGTGGCCTCTTGTCACATCCTAGAGAGAGGGCAATGGAGTAGGGGATCCTGGAACCTCCTGTCTCTGCAGTGCAGCCTGGATCGGCATT